GACCCAAGCACGGAAAAATCCATACGACTGCGTGACAAGCTCAAAAGTTTATCATGCGAAACCGGAAAATACTTCGGAACTTCTTAGATTAATTAACGTAATAAAGCATTATTATCAGTGTTGATTAATTACTAAACGTATTAAGGCCGAAGTATTTCAGAATTCACTGTAAAAACATTGAAGTCTCACAATGGAATGGATTTTAAAAACGTTGCACCCTGGTGGTCGATACTTTTCAAGTAAAATAAACAACTCTAAAATCGTGATGTATCCAGTATTTGCTGCAGTTATATCAGAATTGGGGCTGGGGAGGAAACAAGTCGTCGTTTCGTGTTTTGCACCAATATGGTAGAGGGGTGAAAGTAGGCTGGGAGGGGAGCGATATATGATACTTATCGCATTATCACCTGTATCAAACTATTGAATAATAAAAATAACATAATAAAATAATAATGATTTTATCGAGACATAGGAGATTTTCTTAGAAGTTAGTTAAAATTAAGCTGTTTCAATAATCACGACAAAACCCAATATTTTTTTAATCAATTTTAACTCAATCACACATCAGGCATATCTACATAATTCATTACATGCATCGATTGATACTGGAAATCTCAAATTTTATTAAAAAAATAATTAAAAAGCAATATTCTACAGCAAGATATTATTAAAAAATATACAAGCCCAAGAAGAAATCAATAAATTTTTCAATGACTTACTATTTACATTTAAAAAATGTTGATGAGATTTCTAGTATATTCGACGCCACATTTACTTCATACTAAAAATAACTCACCTGGACAAGTCTTGTTTATTTTTGAATTTACTAAATTGTTGAATGTATATGTAAGGACATTGCAATTGTGATTTTCATAATAAGAAACGATATTTGTTGAATCTATAATATATTTTTATCTTTGCTTTTGAATAATAAATTTTCTAGAATTTCGAATTTGACGTTAGTCAAAAGGCAAAATGTGAAGAGGCTATAAAATTGTGCAAAAATATTAGTTATGTTTCATAATTTATGAAAGATAACGTTCATGTTTGATCAAATCCAAAATTAAAAGTGTATCATACTATAAAGAAGATGACTGAATTAGTAAAAGAAGCAACAACAACCTGCAGAGTAAAATTGACTTTATCAACAATTTTTTAGGTGTTATAAAGTCACACCATGGCCTGAAAGAAGTAAAAATAAGATCTGAATTGAGGCGCTTTTTTTAGAGTACGATCAAAGCTGAACTATTCTTTTGCATATCTGAAAGTGATCACATGACTTAAATGCCCAAACTTGTGTACTCTTTATTCTTCTCAGCACAAAAAGTTCAGCACAGTCATTGCAAGGTTCATTCAATCTTCCATTTTTGTTTAAAAACTTTAAAAATATAACTAACTACTTAAGGTAAATGTGGAACTGAAAATTGGATCATCTACATTGATCGCTTCACTTTCACTTACTATAACTGATCAAATTGAACAGCTATAGTACAAACCGTATAGCTTTCTTAAAGAACCACTAAGTAATATTTCATTGAGAATTTAATTAATGGTAATTTAATTAATAAAGTATAGAGAGTACGAAGAGATGAAATAGGTATTCAAAGATTTATGACATGACTGGACTCGGACAAGTATCATAATCGAAAGAGACAGGCAAAAGTTTACAAAATACCTCTTTCCATGTTCACGCTTGTATTCACCACTGTATTTGGATCTATTTCCTACAAGTTCTATTATCTCAGGTATACTACTGGCAAACATGGCCTGTAAGAACAAAATAATTAGAAGACTATAATACAATAGGTGAGAGAAAGAACAACAATTATGATTGTGATCTTTGAAAGTTTCTGTTTAAAAAGAATACTAGAAGATTATTTGTTTGATTGGTTTGAGATTATTGAAACGATAAGAAAAACTAAGAAAAGCCAAGACCAATGACCAATGACTTTTTGCAGATATATACATTTAGAGATTTTTCAGATCCATTTTTCAAAGCTGCAAGAGAGACGACGACAAGAAAGCAACATCATGATAAGCGGTGTATGAAATATGCTTTTCCCGGTCAACAGCTTAAAGAAAGCTAGTATATATTACGCGATCATCTTGGAAACTCCTAACAGCTCCGAACCATTGCTTCCATCACATGTATATATTTATGTACAGCATACACAAGAGGAGAGAAAAGAGAAGAATACAAAAATGAATCGATCGTTTTCTGTGTTCTGTCGGCGTCAAGCATTAAATTCGATTGCAGTCCGCTAGCTCATCGATTCGTCAATGCCAAACGCATCCGTGAGTCTACATCACAAAATAATATGAATTCAGACATTTAATGAATTCGTCTGATCACGCGTGCTATCGACTATGAAACACACGGATGTTTGAGAAGACTTGCTCGTCGTGAATTTTGGATCTTTCTATGCTTCCGCTGTTTTGCTTTTAATTTTGTGTAGACAAGTTCGTAAATTCAAATTTTTATTCAATTTTACTCATAGAAGAGGAAAAACGTGCAGTATGAAACAACTAATGTATAAAATATACAATTGATTCTACCATGCGAAAGGAATTTATTGCCGACTTTATATTCCTTCAAAATTTACTCATTGTTTAATTCTTAAAAAAGCACAAAACATTATGTAAGTGTCGATCTATTAATTGAAACGACAAAATATAATTTCGATTCAATATTTAAAGCGACTTGTCAGCAATGTAGTTGTTTTTAGTAGTAATTCACAGTCATGCACAGCAATTATACTCACTCTACCATCCATTCATTAAGAGTTGACATTTTAAGTTAGTTTACATTATGATAACGTGTTAATTCATCGCAAACGGGCAGTTAAGACTTCACCGAAAAATTACAAAGGCAACAATTTTCTTATTGGTCGGAAAAATATTTGCAAGTGTGATTTTAATTAATTAATTAATTAATAATTATTAAGTAAATCCGTATCGAAGTATCAAGTAAGAAAATATTTTGAAAAAATAACTAAATTTCTCGAGTGACAGTTTCAGACTTATTATAATGAGCGTAGCTATGGCAAAGCTGCATTACTGGGTGTTGCTATATATAATGCAACTGTCACTGGAAATGCGACACACAATAGCACACTGTAACACCGCTGCGCTTATCAGTAAATATTGTGATAATAGCTTCAAATGTGAAAACCTTATCTCTCGGTTATTATTATAAAATATATTAACTTCTGAAAAATTATTTTCACGGAACTCATAATTCTCTAGCTGCTCTGCATTCGAATCGCAAAAAAATGCAAAAATAACTTGACCGTTGAGAATGAATTATGATAAAGTACAAAAAGGACTAAAAAATAAAGAAAATATATAAAATATAGATATGTTTTGTACATTTACTGTAAAAAGATGTTTGTATTGAGTGCTTTAGCCTAATATATCAAAAACACACAACGTGTGTGACCAGCGTTCACGTGTGTGAATGTACGCTGGTGGCTATACGCGTTGGACCGTAGCCAAGCGAGCGAACCAACGTAAAAAAAAAATAAATAAACCCGAATGGCGAATTGCCATATCGCGATTTGCGTTAACGATACGGATTTACTTTTTTTGCTCCACCGAAAGAGTAAAAGAGAACTTTGATTTTTTTCTCGCTTTAAAATCGCTCATTTTTCCGAAAGTCACGTGAAGAAAAAAAAATATTAGATAATTGACATTTCAGTGTCTGCAATTATTTCTTTTGCAGCGGCAAAAACATGATACTCGTTCCGAAATGAACAGTGAAGACATAAGCCTTAGGGTGCCTTTTATATTTCATCGTCTTGAAGCGAAAAAGTTATATCTCAAAATTTGCTTAATAAATCAGAGTTGACCTCAGAGATTCTGGAGATTTCTGAACCTTTTCTGCTTTAATTCGATGATATATAGTAGAAAACTCTAAATTGGCATTAAGTATGATGTAAGAGCAAGTTCAGTTGTTCTTTGCACAAAAATACAAGTCCGTGAGTAGTACAAGTCAATGTTGAGAGAGGCAAAAGCTCACAACGATATATTACCCAGTGTTGGACAAAATATCCGGTTTATTCGTGATTCGTGCAAATGGCAGAGAAATTAAAACAACGCGATTCTCGTAAGGAAAATATGTTATTATGAGACTCACTGAATTGAGTGTTAATCCAAGCAAATTGGTTTCTCATATTATTTTTCTTCGATCATGAAATTTAACGCGATCTATTTTTCTTCGTGAACTATTGAAAAGGAATTTGAAATTTATTTAAGCTTTCTTTATCTTTTCCTTAACAAATACTAAGAACTCCGATTAATCAGTTTAGCTGTCGAAAATGTTCAATAAACAAGATCCACAGCGAGCGTTTGACTTTTTTTTCATTTGCTCAAATATTCGTATCGCTCGACCACTCGTTTGGTCTATCGCACATCCCTTTTACTAAAAATACTCGCGTCCGAAAAATCGAAGGCAAATATTTTTAGCTATTGCAAAGTATATGGGCCGGCGTTACTCGATTGCTATCTTTTCAGGGCAGAGTTTTTCTTTGTGCCGCAGCAATTGGATTCGCGCGGATACGTCGAGCGCCATAATAACACTTACAATTAAAAGCGAAGCTCGAGCAGGCCAAGCGACTCTTGCGATCGATCGATCCGCGCGAGATACTTGAGTGCTCTTTCAGCGAGCTCGAATTTTTAAGCAAATCGGGAAATATTCAGTACGGCTCGATGTGCTTTTTTTCTAAATCAAAATAGGATCTAATTATAGGTGATGATTGTTTGAAAATTGACACATATCGATTCGAGAGACGAAGAGAAATATAGATCGAGTTGGAGAGATATGAAAGAACAAGTATTACATTTTGTATACATATTTGTACATATACTTCGTTGAAGTATGCATTATATTAAGTTTGCGTCCTAATAGTGTTTTTGTAATTGGAAGCAAGAGATTAGAAGAATTATCGAGAATTTTTAATCGAGATAGAGAGAGCGAAAGTGAGTAATTGCGGTGAGCTTACCAAGCCGACGAGTAGAAAAAATACTAGGAATGTGCGGCCGAGTATGGTCTGGCAGTAAACATCGCCGTAGCCCACCGTCGACATGGTCACAATGAGGAAGTAGACGCAGGTCCAGTAGGATAACTGCTGCGGGTTCTTGAACTCGAACGGGTCCCCCGAGTTCTCGAGCTGTTGTCGTCGTTGCATTCATTAGAAAAGGCTGTTCTCGGCGCTACTCGAGATCTCTCGTGGCTCGGGCCGCGCGATCGCACCACGTTATCGTACTTACCAAATGGATGATACCGGCAGCCGTCAACCAGACGGAGATGAATATCGAGACCAGTTGAGCGAGTCGAATCGAGCTCGACGTCTTCAGGATGTTGAGGTACTGAAGTATGTCGGGCACCGTCATCAGTCTAAGAGCACGGAGGAACCTCAGCCCGATCCACGTGCGATCCAGGTAGATCGACACGAAAGACGGTGGTATCGTAAAGTAGTCCACGAACGAGTACATCTCCAGCATGAACCACAGCTTGTCACTGGCGGCGATAAACTGCGTGACCCCCCGACGCCCCAAGCAAAATTTCATCATTTTTCGATACATTTTCTCTCTCCCACACACACACAACACACAACATATATCACAAATTGCCCTTCAATTTTGCCCCGCAATTCATACTTACGCGTATAAAAAAGTAGACCATAAAAAATATATTAAAAGCTAAGTCTATCTGCTGAGTAATGTTGTTGCTCCATTTCTGGCAACGTTCCACCTCCTCACTGAAACAGATCACAAGCGAATGCAAATTTTTGTTGCGTTATATATCTAGCAAGTGTGCGTGTCTCGAGCTACGTGCGTTATATAGTATAAAGTGCAATATATGTCGGCAATCATTGAGGTCACGCCAATATTATATTATGTTTTGCGTTAATCTTCTTTAAGGGCCACGCGCTTAAATCGTGCAATTCTGTATATTTAAAATTTTTCGTACCTGGAGGCGTCGATGAAATATATTATAAGCGACGCAATACTAAGGATGAAAACTAGCACCACCTGCAAAAAAAAGAAAAAACACAGTGTGAGAATATGGTTCAAGAGTTTTTTTTTCATATTGAGTGGAGGTTCATGAGTTTCATAATGTCGGTACAAACGTTTTTCGATCGTTTCAAATATCAATCTTTTCAATTCTTTCATTTAAAGTATCAAATAAAAAATAAAGGCACCCTTAAACTGGTAGTCAGAAGTAATACTTCACGCATAAGCAGTGGCGTTTTTTAATTAAAATGGAAAATGACACGAAAGCACAGGTAAACTGTAAAAAGGCAGTTGCACAGCGTATATCTATGGACATTTCTGGTGTTTGATTATATCCTCAGAAGAGGTAAAAGGTAGATATACCGATGGATTGAGGAGCTTTCAAAGCTTATTACTTCTCGAGTACCGGTAAGAAGGTTAAAAGTCGAAGTAAATTGTCGAAAATCATTATAGCGCAGTGAAGTTATGACTGCATCGGGGGATCGTTAAAACTGTAACGAGCTTTTGTTCCGGGGACAAAAATGCTCTCTCTCTCTCTCTCTCTCTCTCTCGAATCGATTGAATTACGACAGTCGAGTTTTACGCGCGGCAGATAGAAAAAAAAGTCAATTGGAAAGTCTTCGGACGACAAGCATATTTAAGATAAAAAGACGCAGGTAAGGCGCGCTCAGTCTCGACGCGAGTCGAGGAAAGAAGGAAAAAATCGGAGTTTAGGGGTTCAAAAGAGCAAAATGTAGAGCAAACAAGACAGAAATCAAGATTAACCTGAATCAAACTATATACATCATTAGTGCGCGCACATTCGCATTCACACACAAGACACAGACACAGACGCGCAATGCAGTGTAGTCGTATCTATTTCTGAGTTTGGATGACCCACTCCCCTGATGTACGGATATATAACGTACACGCTATATAGATATAGGTCGACGTTATATATGCATCAATGTAGGATAAGAAGAAGGGCCAAGAGCTATACGTCGACTGCGAGTGCGAAGTAAGCGCGGCGGCAACATGAATCGTCTGCTGCTGCTGCTGCTGGCTTTGCGCCTCGTCGACTCAGGGATCAGGCCAAGCTGGCGAACGCGCGTCTTCCTCTTATCCACTTCCTTTTCTCGAAAGCAAATTACATACGTTTCACACGAGCTCGAATCAAGACAATCAGGCTAATGTAGCTTCTCCATTTCTTTCTCTCTTTCTCGTCTCGTTTCCTTCTAATCTACATTATAACATGCCAGGCGACGCGCGCGTACGCGAAATTAGCCACCCCTGACGAGCTCGGCCTCATACCCCCTGCACTCGTTTGCGCAAGGGATGTAGGCGCGAGATCGCTGCGCGTCACTAGTAGTAGTGGCAAATACATCGTGTTTGCGAGCGGCAGTCGGTATATTCTTGGCTGCTGCAGCGCGTATGCGTGCTTGTGTGCTTGCTCGCTCGCGCCCCTCCTATAGTCGGTCCGTTCGTGTCCTAAGTACTGCACGCTGCGCGTCGCTGCACACATAGACACACGGGCGCGACCTATAAATAAGCGGCGCACGAAAATAACCCGCGCGTGCATAGAGAGAGAGAGAGCGTCGTCGACGACGAAGAGAGCGACTAAGAGAGAGAGTCGAAGAGGTGGCGGCGGCGGAGCCTCTGTCGCGAGCGACCATTTGGCAGATCGTAATAATAAGCACGCGGTGCAGCTCTCTCTATTACGAGATTGCACCGAACTGCGGTGGGCGCGCGAACTCCGTTAATTTGACGAGCGGCCGTTAAGTGGCTTCGTTAGATCGCTTTAGCAGACTCGAGCGCGCAAAGGCTCTCTCTTTCTCGATACGCGAGGCCTCGAGCGACGAATCTCGTTAATCGACATCGCGTTGCGCACCCGTTTTCCAAATTGCACCTCGCGCAAGCTCCGAAATTCGCATAGCTCGTGCATACATAGGAAATACGGCGCGTCTAATAATAAAGTCGGCGACTCGCGCCTAAAAGACCACACGATAGTCGTCGCGCGACCGACTCGCGTATAGAGCTGTGCAGCGCAGCTCGCTGGAAACAATATTATGATGCAAATGCCAAAGACCCTTGTGATTTTCGAGGCGCTTTTTCTCTCGACATCGGCGTTCAAAGGACCACTCGTGCGGATGCTCTGGGACTCGGCCTTGTCGGCGTCTCAGGGTCGTGCTTACCATGTAAGATGAATCGATATAATGACGCACGTACACGATATGAGCCACGGTCTGTTTGCTGTCGATAGCGACATACTCGCGATCGGCGATTCGCCTTGTAAGTATATAGCTGTACGAAATTACGAATAAAAAGAAATTCACCTCTTTCTTTATATCATCAAGCGTGAAATGAGCTCGATAACTTTTTTCATTTCGCATAAATAAGGTCGGCTATAGGGGGCAAAGCTCGACTCGTAGCGCTATAATGTGTGCATTACATGTAGCCCGTATACGCTACCAAATGTAAAGACCGACGCGTTTGTCACACGCGACTCGATTTAACGTCTGCGGCCGCGCGGCGAGTGTGCGTAAGATCGCGGCGCATGTATACGATATACGTGTGCGCGCGCCAAATCAATATTGTACACAGTGTATATATTACGAACGCGTATACGCCCTAAGAAAGCAGCTGCGCGCCCCGTACGTACTTTTAGTACGTACAGCTGGCCGACTCGAGGGTGTATAATATACACACAGGCACGAGCTGACTCGCACACTGGCACAGGCACGAGGCGCAGCATAAAAAGTGTGTCTTAGCCTCTGGAGAAATTCATTCCTTCTTTTTCCGAGGCGCGCGCCGAGCGAGCACTTTTACGAGCGGCATTTTTATTGCTCGACTTTTCCTCCGCCAAGCCGAGTGGATCATGCAACTACGTAGATCAACGGAGCTTGGCTTTTCACCTATATAACAGCCAACACGCACACACACGTAATAGCGACGCGTCGACTACTACCTTCTCTCGTGCTCGGAATGTGTAATCTCCGATGTTGAAAAAATACTGTATTTTTCCCCCCATAAATTGACGTGGAAAAAATGAAGAAAATAATGCTTCATTAACCTGCGGTATAATTCACGTATACGCGTAGATTATCGGTAACAGACCGAGACCGTAATGTAGATCAGAGAACGCTAATAACGATACAATTTTATTATAATATTAAAAAATAGCGACAATAATAAAAATAAACAAATAATAACGGCAACCGTACAAGAGCGTCTGGCGTTGCTTCGATCGCTGCGGCGTTTAAATAAATAAAAAGTCGCTAGCACTGGCAAGTAGTATAGCTGTATATTACGACCTGCAGCGGCAGCAGCGCGTGTGTAGCGCATGTGAAACGTGCCGACGTTATATACGCCACACACGAGATCGATTTTGCCACGCTCGCTCGTGTTCGTTCGTTCGTTCGTTCGTTCGCTCGCGCGCGACCCTATTTTATCTTCTCGATGTAATCTAAACACATGAATTAAGAATGCGCGTTACAGTACACGGTGCAGCCCCTAGACTAGCGCCGATAGAACGAGCCGCAACAACTGCCCGACGAGTCTCGCTCCTTTTTTCCGTGAAAATATCCTTTTGGCGGTGTATTTTATACGTTTAGCGAGCGAATTGACCTTCTCTCGAGTCAGGAAAAACAGCGCCAAGAAACATCGCTCGATCCCAGCAGAGGAATGAGCGTACCGCGTCGATTCGAGATAACGAGTGCAGTTGCCCAGCAGCTCGGCCGCGCGCGCCGGGGGTGGAACGAGGTGCGCGGAGTCTGCTAGCGCGAGTTTATCAAGTACTTATACTTTGGGCGTTTATCATATATAACCTATATACATATATGTACAATCCAGCCCGTGCCTCCCTCTCTCTCTCTCTCTCTCGGTGCCTGACTGCCTGACTGCCGTTGCCCGCCACTCACACGAACGACGCGCGATGTAGGTCACTGGGTTATCGCCCACACGAAACCGCGGATGCAGGCCGGCAGATTAATTGCCCTCTACCTTTGGCCCCCCGCCTTGTAATATACCAACGACGAGCCCCAACGAAATGGAAAAGTTTAACGCCTCTCCCATTCGCTTGCGAAATGACGATTGCCCGCTGAGTCATGGTATATAATGTTCACCCCTTGCTCTCGTGTAACTAGCAGCCGCACGCGACATTTAATATATCAATCGAGTCTTCCAAGTGTGTACCGAGTGCTAAAATAGTCGAGAAGATCGATCGATACGAGGCGATCGTGACAGAGCACATTGCACGTGTGCAGCGCCCCATATAACAGACTCCGAGTTCGATGCAAGCTCCGGTGCAAACGGAAATATCATTATTTTTACAGCACGGCACGTGAGATAACATTGTCAACTTTGTATATTTTGTATCGATCAAATATTTATGTAAAATATTTTCAATTGAACGTATTTCACATTCACTGAAATATGAGTATTTAACTTGTTAAATAAAATTGTAAAACGAATGAGTACTGATGTGCATAAGCAGATTACCGCTCTGGTGCGACAATTCAGAAAACAAACGAGCAAAGTCATTTCGCATTTGATAAAAAAAAAGCGAGAGAGAGAGAGAGAAAACGAGTATGAACAGAGGCGCAAAAGTTAGCTTTCATAAAGTGCAAAGCGAGTAGGCAATAATCGTTTGCGAGGGATCGTAACCCGTGTATATAAGCTCCAGGGATTTTAATCGGTTCACCCGCAGCAAGTATTTCATTTTGTCCCGAGCGCGCGCGCAAAAGTACCCAATGCGGAAAAGCCGCGCGCGACGATGAGCTGCGTATCGAAGATTTGTTTATTCGTCAAAATATTTCGCGAGAATAGCTCGAGCGTCGACGAAATACCAGCGCGATGCGTTGCGCGCAGCACACGCGAGTTTATTAGGCAGCGCTATGCCAGGCATTCGTTCGGCTTTCGTGTAAGCTGTCGAAGTGGTATATATACAGAGAAATTCGCGTATTATGAGAAAAGAAGAATATATTGAGAGACGCCTGCTACCTCGACCTATGTCCAATGGACAATAGAACGTGTCGTTGAGC